CCAGCTCCTCCAGGACACACACGGTGCCCTCCTCCCCTCTCCTACTCCACCCTAGTGATCTTCAGGGTGCAGGAGTTCCAGCTCCTCCAGGAAGCCTTCTCTGATCAGGCCTGGATCTAATGTAAAGAACCAATCATAGAAAGAATTTCAGGAGTTTGTTATGTGTGACTGCCCCTGAAATCTGGGAATCTCTTAGAAAGCTTCCAAAGGGTGTCGTAACATCTAAGTCGGTGATTCTAGGACAGAGGCCCATGAGTAAAGGTTGTCAGGTCACTGGGTGGAGAAGAGCCAGGTGGCCCACGGACTCTCAGTTTTCATCGGTGACATTCTGCTTACTAAGGACTGCTGAAAGCTCTGCCCAGTGCCTCAGAGAGAAGCTTCTCTTCTTTCTCTTTCGGTTGCTGATCTACATGAGCACCTGCATTGTCTCTCTGCAAAAAGGAAGCTCCTCTTTCTGGCATCAGTTCAGTACCAACAGTCAGGTGGCAATCTAGGAACACAGGTAAGAGGACACAAGGCACATTCCTCGGAGGCACCCGAGTGGTCCTTTTGGAGGTCCTTAAACAAAAGGGCAAAGCACCATCAGAAGCTGGAGGCCATCGGTCATTTGATAAATATTCAGTGGGCACCGAGGTATGCCAGGTGCTGTAGCCACAGCAATGGGCAAGGCGGGCATGGCCCCAGCTTCAGCAGTGTGGGTCCAGCCCACATCTCTCACCACTGCAGCCTGAGTGCCAGCGGGAGCCAGAGGCTAAAGGATGCTGTCTTAGTCATCTAGTGCTGCAGAAAGACCACAAGTGAATGGCTTTAACAAAGAGAAATTTATTCTCTCACAGTCTAGTAGGCTGCAAGTCCAAATTCAGGGCATCAGCTCCAGGGAACGTTTTCTCTGTTGGCTCTGGAGGAAGGTCTTTGTCATCAATCTTCCCTTGGTCTGGGAGCTTCTCTGCGCAGGAACCGCAGGTCCAAAGGACACACTCTGCTCCCAGCACTACTTTCTTGGTGGTATGAGGTTCCCGTGTGTCTCTGTTCACTTCTCTCTTTTATATCTCAAAGGAGATTGGCTTAAGACACTATCCAGTCTTGTATATCTAATCCATCTTATTACATCAAAGTGATAGAGTTTACAACACATAAGGAAATCACATCAGATTACAAAATGGCACACAATCATACAATACTGGGAATCATGACCCAGCCAAATTGATATATTTTTGGGGGGACATAATTCAATCCATGACATTCCACCCTTTAGCCCCCCAAAAATCATATTCTTGCAACACGCAAAACATATTCATCTCATCATATCATAGCAAAAGTCTCAAATCAACTCCAAGTCCAAAATCCAAAAATTCCTCTTCATCTGTGAAATCTAGAATGCAAAGTTATCTGCTTCCAAAGTACAATGGTAGAACAGGCACAAGGTAGACATTTCCATTATAAATGGGAGAAACTGGAGGGAAAGAAAGCATAACAGGCACCAAGCAAGTCAGCAGAACACATTACATTAGCCCTCAAGGCTTGAAAATAATCCTCTGTTCTCTGAGACCATTTATACGATGGCCCTGCCCTCCAAACTCCAGGTATTGGCCATACTCTCCAGATTCTGAGTGGAGGCCCCTCAGCCCTGGGCATCAGCTCTGCCTTCCAGGCCCACTGGGACAGCAACTCTGCTCCCTTGGCTTTAGGTGCACCATTCTCCTGGTCCGTCTGAGTGGTGACTCCACAACTCCACCTTTAGAAACACCAGAGGCCATGGCTCCACTCTCTGAAACCCCAGAGATCCTGGCCATACCTTCTGAGACTGAGGCAGCTCAGCTTCCTGTGCTCCTAGTCTCTTCAGCTTCTGTTTCCTGTGGCCTCTCAGCCCTCGGGCTTCACGTCCGCATCTGCCTTGTTGGGGCAACTGTTCCAAAGCTCAGTAGCTCTACCAATGAGTAGTACTACCACTCCGCCAGGAAGCCTCCTGCACACAGGCAATCAGCTCTCTCACCCTGTGGGTCAGCTCCAACGCTGTCTGGCACTGGTCTCCTGGTTCTGCTGCTGCTGGTCCTCTGTTGCTGCTGGCCCTCTGCTGCTGCTGCACTTCTATCCATTCACAGTTTCAAAACCACTTCCACATTTTAGGTATCTGATAGAGCAGCACCCCACTCCTGATACCAAATTCTGTCTTAGACTGGGTTCTCTAGAGAAGCAAAACCAGTAAAGTGTATAAATATATACAAAGAGAGATTCACATCAAGGAAACAGCTCACACGATTGTAGAGGCCAGAACATCCCAAGTCCGTGGATCAGGGTAGAGGCCTCTCGCAGTTCACGCAGCCGAAGAAGCTGGCTAGCCCAAGATCGGCAGGTCGGAGAGCAGGACTTCTGCTCACAACCTGTGAAGGTCGATGAATTCCAAGATTGGCAGGCAAGACTGCAAGGTTTCTCCTGATTCACGTAGCTGCAGGGGCTGGCGAACCCAAGATCGGCAGGTCAGAGTTCAGGGCTGGGTTCACAGGCTGTGAAGATCAACGAATGCCAAGTTTGGCAGATAAGCTGACAGCCCAAGTCCCAAGAACCGGGGGTCAGATGAACAGGAGCCAGCTGCAGGATCCAGAGCAAGCAAAAAGCCAGAATGTCTGCTTATATTCAGACGCAGGCCACACCCCCAGGGAAACTTCCTTTCCACTGATTGGCTACTCACAGCAGATTCCATCATGGGAGTGATCACATATAAACACTGAGAATCATGGCCCAGCCAAGCTGACACACACTCTTAACCATCACAGTCAGCAAAAAGGATAGCTTCCTGCCAATCCCCGCTGCAGCCTGAGTGCCAGCAGGAGCCAGAGGCTAAAGGAGGCAAACAGGAAATGGTCCTGCCAATCCAGCAACGCGTCCTGAGACTGGAAGCAAGAAGAGAGGGCGTGGCTGTGAGAACCTGTGACAAATCTCTGGCACCAGTCTGCAGGAGGAAGACAGGCCCGTTCCATGCTCGGTCCCACCAGTCTCTATCCACATGGAACTGTTTCTAGGGGCATCGTTCTCAAAGAAGCAATCCTTGCTCAAGTTTTCAAGGTTAAGCCCCATTGACCAACCTGGTATCTTGGTCCTTGAGAGATACTGACCTTGGCTCTGGGATATGGAAGATAAATACAAGTCAAAGTTCATCAGAATAAGGATGAATAAGATAAAGGACTTCTAAGAAGTCGTCCATCTAGCTTGATCAGCCCAAGAGTGGGACAAAGTTCAAAGGACTCTGAAGCTGTGAGGAGGGAGCCCCATACTCTTCCAGTCTGGGCCAGGGGCCCTTCATTGTGCACGTGGTCAAGGATGAGCCGCAGATTCTCAAGATGACAGAGAAGGGCTGCAGTGAAGAAAGGTGTCCTGCAGAGGAAAAGAGTGCGTGCTGAGCAGAAAGACATGAGGGAGTGTGAGAGGCTGGGGCTGCAGGGACATGGGTATAAGAGCACAGGTCCCCACCTGGGGGCTGCAAGGACACGGGTACAGGAGCGCGGGTCCCCACCTGGGGGCTGTTAAGGACAGGGGTACACGAGCGCAGGTCCCCACCTGGCGGCTGCAAGGACATGGGTACAACAAGAACATGGGTCCCCACCTGGGGGCTGCAAGGACACGGGTACAGGAGCGCGGGTCCCCACCTGGGGGCTATAAGGACACGGGTACAGGAGCACGGGTCCCCACCTGGGGGCAGCAGGACACGGGTACAGGAGCGCGGGTCCCCACCTGGGGGCAGCAGGACACGGGTACAGGAGCGCGGGTCCCCACCTGGGGGCAGCAGGACACGGGTACAGGAGCGCGGGTCCCCACCTGGGGGCAGCAGGACACGGGCTGGAGAAACAGGCTCTGCATCATGAGAAGTCAGGAGAGGCTGGCTTAGAAGGTGACAGGGAGACACACAGGGCCACAGGATCAGATCCGCATGTCAGAAAGGCATGCCACGGTGCATGGAGGGGGGAGTGGGCTGAGACTGGCGGTAGGGAGGCAGGTCAGAAGATTCTGCCTGCCAGGGGCCTAATGAAGACATGGAACTAAGTCAGCAGCCCTAGAAAATAAAGTAAGAGCTGATGACCAAGTGAGAGCAGAGGACCCAAACAGAGGGCACACAGACGCCTCTCCGTCAGGAGTTTAGGCGAAAGGGTGAGGCTAGAAACACCAATTGGTTTACACACGTCTGTTAACCTAAAGGTTGGCAGTTCAAACCCACTCTGCGCCACTGCAAAAGAAAGGCCTGGCGATCCGCTTCATAAAGATTACAGCCAAGAAAATCCCAGAGAGCAGTTTTACTCTGAAACACGTGGGGCCACCATGAGTTGGAATCACCTCGATGGCAACAGGAAAGAAACACCAGCGAGGGAAAGACTTGCATGTGGCTGGCAGATGAACCACAGGAGGGTGACATGGCCCGGGGAGGGCGGCTGGGAAGACGGTCGGAACCCGGGGGCTCCAGGGATGGGGGCGCGGGGGATGGCTTCTTCCTAAAACTAAATCACTGATCGCGCTAAAGTAATCCTGAGAACTATTAAGTTTATTTTCTTTACTGAATTCTAAGACGCAAAATAAATATTATAGACTTAAGTCAATTAATTGGCATGTTATTATTTTGTTGGGACCTAACAGCTATCCTTAGAAGAACTGCCAGAATATCTAAGAATCCCGGAAGCAGGTTCTTCTCATGCTTACGTGAACAGTACCATGTCCCTTTATTCGGTCAAATGAACAAGTGAAAACTAAACTCCCGCTTTAAGAAGACTATTTACTAGAGAGTGAATAAAAATTAACCTTGGAAGAGAAACTAAAAAGACTAAGGCTGACCTCCAATGGGCCGTATTTCCAATAGCGTGAGTGACCACGCCCTCAGGACTGGCTGAAGCGGGGCCTCTCCCGCTGCCTCCCGCCCAGGCCCCTGAGCAGCCGTGTGGGCCGTCTGGGAGCTGAGGGCACCGCAGGCCCAGGCTTCAAGGCTCACACGCATCGCCAGCTCGCGCCATGCTCACCTGTACACAATTCTTTCCCGCTGTAAATCGTCCAAGCCGCAGCACACCTCTGCAGCATAGAACACAGCTCTGTGCTCCTCAAAGCCAGGACTGCCCAGGTTGTAAATGTGAAACTTCAGATCCCCTCCGTTCATGATGGTCAGCACCAAGCACAAGGCATCGCTGGTCTCGTACGTGTAGGATAAACTAACCTGAAGACAGGAGCGGCATACAAACAAAACACAGAAACCTGCTCATTCATCTGTGCTTGACTCCGCCGCTGACAATATTCAAACAATCTGCGTTAGACCATGATTACAACATCCAACTACTAGATGCTTCTGGGATACATACTATACACAGCAGGTCCTTCTCCTGCCCGTACCTGTCGACAGACCCCGTCAGCAAAGGACACCAGCCCCGTGCGTCAAGCAACGTGGCCCAGTATGAAGGTCTGTACCCAGAAGCTGTGTGTCCAAAGGAGAGAGACTGTTGTCTAAACTTCACCGAGTGAGCAGGTGGAAAGCTTCACAAAGACCCTGAAGCTACGCTCCCATCACTGGGCCGCCAGTAACCCCCACTCAAACGCGCTCAGCACACACTTACACTGCCACCAGCAAGGCAAGAGCGCTCCTGCTGCTCCATGTCCTCCTGACGCCCTGCCAAGGTTCGAGTCTTCAGCCACGCTCCTGGGGGCGCAGTGGTGTCTCGCTGTGATTTTAACCTGCGTTTCTCTGTATATGCAAGTATGGGGGACGCTTCTCATACTTATTATATGTGTATTGTTATCCTTGTTGTGTGCTGTCAAGTCGATTTCGGCTCACAGCAACCCTATGGACAACAAGCCTGAGCAGGCATTTCACAAAAGAGGATATCCAAACGGCTAATATAAACATCTATTTACAGCGTCACTAACGAGCCCTGGTGGCGCAGTGGTTAAGCGTTTGGCTGCTAACTGAAAGGTTGGCAGTTTGAACCCATCAGCCACTTCGTGGGAGAAAGATGTGGCAGTCTGCTTCCATAAACATGACAGCCTTGGAAACCCTACGGGGCAGTTCTACTCTGTCCCAGAGGGTCGCTATGTTAGAGTTTTTCCCCTAGATTTTGATGTTTTCTGATGCTATTATAAGTGGTATCATTTAAATTTTTCATTTTCTAATTGTGTGTGGCTTGGCTAAATTCTAAGTTATCTAGAAAGTCATGGACTGTCTGCTACATAATCACGTCTGAAAACAACAATTTTACCTGTTTGGTTTGCTTTTTTCCTTACCCTTTTTACTTTTTTTTCTTTTCCTACTGCACGGCTAGACCCTGCAGAATACTGGTGGACAGAAATGGTGACAGGAGACACCCTGGCCTCATTCCAGACTGCAGAGAGGGTTCCAGCGTGTCCCCACAAAGCCTGAGGTGGGCTAGATGCTTCTGAAGGAGGCTCCCTTCAATTCCTACCTTGCTTAGTGGTTTTAATCACAGATGGGCACTGGATTTTACCCAATGCTTTTCTCCAGCTACTGAGATGATCACATAGTTTTTGTCCTTGATTCTGCTACTGTGAAATTACACTCACTGATTTTCATTCCTGGAATAACCCCAATTTGGTCACGACGTGTTAAACAGCAAGAGAGAAGGGCTGCGAGCTGCGAGTAGACACTGATGGGAATGAAAACGGAGGAAAGAGTGAAGTTTCCAAGAAATGCAGCCTCTACGAAGGTCGCCCACTGCAAACCATGCCTATTGGCTGGGCATGTAACAGACAATTAAACAGCAAGGAATCTGTGGCTAGTCCTTCCCCAGCCCCGGATTATCAATTAACAAGGATCCCTTACTTTCTCCCTCTAGTGAAAATTCATTCACTCATTCAACAAATATTAAATTAATACTGAGAACCTTCTACTGTGCCAGGAGCTGTCCTAGGCGCTGGGGATACAGCAGAAAACAAGACCCTCAGGACCTCCGCCCTAGTGCAGTGGTGGGGTGGTCAGGGCAGGTGACAGATGATAAACGAATGAATACAAAGAAAATGTCTGAGCATGATGACTGAAGACAGAGTGATCTGCTCCAGGCAGACCAGTAAGCCGCCCGCAGGCCCTGCAGTGGAAGTGTTTGGCATGCGACGGTGGCAGCGAGTGCAGAAGCCCGGTCACCCAGCGTCTGGGAGGCCCAAGCAGAGGGTGTGGTTTACTCTTAGAGCGATGGAAAGCCATGGAAGATTGTCATGGGGAAAGTGGAATGACATCCCTGAAATCTTCAAGAGATCCCTTTTAGTGCTGTGTGGACAGCAGACTGGCAGGGGCCCAGAAGAACTGGGGAGCTCAGTCTGAAGTGTGTCAGCTCAGGGGAGAGGCGACAGCGACAGAGAAGAGAGGGTGAATGTGTCCTAGGGCCTGCCGGTTGGCTGTAAGCGGGAGAAGAAACAGAATCAAGACGAAGGCAAACTTTTCTAGGTTCCTTAGAAGAGGCCAAGAATACAGAAACCAAAAAACTCCTATTTCTGTGCCTTTCATCAAGCTAGATCACGGATCCCCGTGCTTCGGAGCTGTTACACAAAAATGCTCAAAGCAACTCCGAAGATGAAAGATTTTCACGTAATTGTGCCGAGGACCGAGACGTAAACCTTTGCTGGAGGAGTCAGGTGACGGCTGTGAAAGCACATCATTTTAGAACTTCAGTCCCCCAGAACAAAGCAGCTGGCCTAAGTACCGAGAAATAAGTGATGACGGGAACACTACAAGTCATTTCAAAACTATCTTTCATGCTCTGTCCAAGCAGACCTTCATATTCCAGTAGATACTGCAGGCACTATGAAATTAGATGGGGAGAAGCTAGGTTTGGAGACGGAACTCCCACTACAGAACGGACAGCCTGAAGCCTGGACCAGCTCTTCAGATTCTTAGCGGTCCGCTCGATGCTGAATCCAAACCTGAAACTTTGAAGGTGGGCTGGAGGCTCCGTACACCTGGGAGACTCTGAGAGCAGAGCGGAAAGCCTGCCAAGTGACAGAAGAGGAGAAAGACAGAAAAGTGTCGGGGCCAAAGAGAGGAGGCCCAAGTGAGAGGGTGAGAAAAGTGTCATTAAGCATATCAAAGTCAGGGTGCCCCCCACGGGTCTGAGCAGCAGGTGGCCATGGGCGGGGGGACGGGCTCAGGATGAGGCTGGTGGCCAACTGAAGGATGAACACATGGGGAGGGTCTGGGCTGTCCCAGGGCCAGGAACCTCAACAGTCAACACCAACGGGACTGTGGGGACTGGACGGCACTGTGTAAGCTTGAAGGTGTGACGAGTCACGGGCTGGCACTGACAATGGTGGACAACGACAGACTTAAATGAGAACGTGGAAGCAGGGGCACGCCGCGGTGTTGGGTCTCCAGTAAGACGTAGGAAGGAAAGAAGAGGGCTGGGGCTAAAGACAAAACCAGCACCTGTTGACATTAGCAGACACCAAAACCCCACAGCAACTAAGTGACGGCCCACACAGGTTCGAGGGCCCAGGGAAGGGAGCAAGGCAGCTGAGCAGGGGGTCTTCAGACACAAGCGCTACTTACCAGGCAATATACGGTGCAGACGCAACGCAGATACTCACTACAAATCTACTGTGCACTTTCTCTAAGATCGTCTTCTCATTCAGAGCCATAGCTTCGCACTTCCTCTTCTTTATCCTCTTTTTCTCCAGTTTCTTACAGGCGTACATTTTTCCTGTAGCTCGCACTTGACAGGCACACACCTAATTTAAAATAAAGGCGGGGGGGAGGTTCATATACACCTCACGTTCCTTAGGCTAAAAACAGAAACGAGTTTTCTCTACGGTAAAGACCAGCAACAGCTCCTGACGGGCTAAGATGGTGTCAGTGTGGAGGACTGGGGTGCGTGAGTCGGCTCTTCCGTCTCCCTAAAAGGATGACGACATGCAGAGGGTTGCCGTGAGAACGAGTGAGTACGATGCTGCACTTGAGAAACTCTGAGACAGTCTACAAACATCACTTGTTGCTCACATGGGGTCATGGTGCATCTGCTTAACTCAAATACGTCTCCTATGTCTATTTTAGTTTTTGTGAAACAGCAAAAGTTTTAAAACATGAAACCTAAGAGATTCTTCATTTTTTTAAAGAGAAGAGTTCAAGAATATGAGGAAATATATTTCACAGAACTCACAGACTTTTTACCTTTATTGTATTTAGTTAGTTCTTCAAGTAAAATTTATATATTATTTAATTTTACATTATGAAAAATTGTAAACATACAAAAGTGGAGAGAATAGTATAATGAGCTTCCATGTATGCATCAACCAGTTTCCATAGTTACCAAGATAGGACCAGTCTTGTCTCATCTGACTCCCACCTACTCCACACACCACACACACACACACACACACACACACACACACACACACCAGATAACTTTAAAAGTAAATGCAAGACATAATATAATTTAATTCAAACAATAAAATAATTTTGATGGTAAAAGTAAACTACAGAGTTCATTGTGGAAAACGCTGCAAGTATTAATAATAAAGACAAAGATGAAAACAACTCACCTATAACCCCAAGATAACCATCATGAACCTTTTGCTGTATATGCTTCTACGTCTACCTTTGTATAGGAACATATACCTTGCCCTCTCCCCAGCAAAACTGGGCTTATTTCATAGAATAGCTACTACTTTATAACTTCCTTTTTTAATTTTATAGTGGCTATTTTCCGATCATTAAATGTTCTTCTAAAATGATTTTTTAAATGATTTTATAGCATAGTATTCGATCATATGACTATTCTAAGATGGATTTACTCATTTTCATACCATTAAGTCTCACATAAATCCTCGCATCTCTCTCTACCATTAGGATAAATTCTTACAAGTGGAACTGCCAAGACAAGGAGAATCCCATCCTTCTGGAGAGGAAAGAGAGAGGCAGTGAGGGCGCCAGGCACTGTGCACACAGCTAGATACAAATTCTCTTTTAATCCTCACTACAACACAGTGAAGGTGTATATTACCCTGAATGAGCATGAGGAAACTCGGGCCCTGAGAGGTCAAGACTGGTCACCCGAGATTACACAGCTAGGAAGTGACACACTGGGATTTGAACTCCGGTCCACTCTACTCCAAAGTTTATGCTCTTTCCACTGTAGGATACTGCCTCTAAAGCCATGAAAACAGAGAGGCCTACCCAGTTCCCCTCCACTGCTCTTGCCTCAGTGCCTTACAAATCTATTTTGCAAAACTTAAAGCATAGGCAAAAGAATTATCTTTAACAACGTAAGACTAGCATGCTTGTCCTTTCAAACCCACTAGAAGATTCTGGTGCTAGTATTTGTGGAAAAGTAAACACAAGATTGGAATTCTGACGTAAAGGGCACTGAAAATGCCTCTGCGGTAGGGCCGGCAGGGCTCCTCCTGACAGGCGCTCAGGAGAGAGAATGGAATGCACGTCCCTCTCTAGGTCTTAAGAGAGAGTTACAGCACGTGCAGAACAAGTCTGTGGAAAACCACCGTTCCTACGCCTCCATCCAATTGTTTGTTTGGAAACACAAGTAAATGTGTTAGAAGTAAACTATAAAATCACAAATACACCAAGTCTTTCACAAGACTTCCAGTTAAAATTTGTTAGCATGCTCCTACTAAGCACATTTGTAAACATTATATACGGCTATAATTAGAACTTCATTCTTTCATAAATAGGAGGCTCATATCCCCGAAACTTTTTTTCCTCTATTATCTGACAAAATCGGAGTCTGTACTTGGAAACCGTGAAAGGCAAAACAGCATGATTTGAAGGGAGAAAATGACTTTCCTACTCCGGGAAGTATTCTACAGGGGATGGACTTCTTAAAGAACACAAAGAGGGGTGGAATATTCTGAAACGTCCCCAGAACTTTGTAAAAGGCACAACACTGCTAACTTTCCTGAAATAACGACTATACTGGCCAGTTTCTTACCATGTCAAACTACAAATGTATCACAGATCCCACCTATAGTGAGGTATCTCTTGGGCCATTTTCTAACTAATTTCTAACGGAATGCTGGTAGCTTTGGCTTTGAATTGGAATTTGGGAGCAGGTATGACTGAAATCACACCCAGGCAGTGTAACCTGTTTCTGACTTAGACATACAGTGTCGGCCCCCTCAATGACTCTCCTGGCTCTTGAACCAAATATGGTCACTCCAGATAGTTAATGAGGTAATTAACACTTCTTTAAATCACTTAAAACAAAATCACATGCTGCTCTCTGTCCACCTGCTACAGTGGCCTAGGACAGCCACATTTAAAGAGTATCTCTCATGAATTTGTGCGTAGTTTATGTAGGATTTCCCCGAATTTACATATTTTCTAACACCTTTTCATGTAGGTGTGATGTGTGTGTGTATATTTATATACACACACATATACACAAAGTTAAGTAAGCATATTTAATTATATACTCTGCATTACATAAAATTTTAGGCTATTCCTCAAAGTTCATCAAGTTATAGAAACGGAATAATAGCAACTCCACCACATGGAATCAGGATAATCTTCTGAATCAGGACAAACTGTTAATCCTTGGAGTTTCAACACTGGACAAGGGAAAACAGCTTCTGAATGAAATATGCAGCAAAAGATAAGTCACAAAAAATAATGAAGTTTTTTAAAGTTTGTAGCAAAGGACTTTTTGCTCAACATTCAATCTTAATTCTCATGACTGACTAAAACATTATTCCCAAGATGCAGAGCAAGGAAATGAATGTATTGGTCAAGTTGACACCTTATCTGAAGATAGTATCTTTTAATTACCTGGCTGTCTAGTTACTTAGAAGCACTGTGCAGAACTGGTCACATATTACTCACCTCTCCAAATCCGCCTTTTCCTAGAACTCTGTAATGTCTAAATGTGTTCCTTGTTACTGGTTGCCTAATCAGTTAAAAAAAAAAAAAAAAAGAAAGAAAAGGTTTCAGGCCTCACATTGCATTGTTAGGTTAAAAGTGGAAAGCCTGGTCCAATTCTCCTTACTAACCAAACACAGGCCTTCAACCAGCCCACACTATGAGATGTTTCTGTATGTGACACATGCATATTCTCAACTATGCTAACAGCTCTACCTTCCTGAACCTGTCAGAATGCTGTGGAGCAAAGTGACATACAGACAGCACGCTGTCCTTGGAAAAAGGAACCTCAAAGAAGATGTTTACACCTAACCCCAACGTCTCAAAATAAATGTATGAACTTGAACTGGAAATTTCATCCATCAATAATAATTGTAATGATTGCCATAATTGTATGATGATGATAACACTAAAAACAGTGGCAGCTAACATTTTTCAGCACTTATTTTGTCCAGCAGGCACTGTGCTAAGCACTTTACACACATTTCTCAGGTGATCCCATTAACAGTTCGATAGGGTAGATTCTATAATACCCCTATTTCACAGAGCAAGGAGCTTCAGCTCAAGTAAGTGAAGTAAGTTGCCTGAGGCCACACAGCTAGTAAGAGGCAGAGCTAGGGCTGAGGCTGCAAGGTCTCACCCACTGCGTTGTATGATGTTACTGCAAATCTCAGATGTATGTTATTGTCTATCACACCAACAGGGCCAGCTGCCATTTAAAAGAATCAACTGAATCAGAAAAAATTTTATTCACGTAGTCCCTGATTTATGACATATTCAAGTTACAAAGGATCACATTTAGGACCATCTGTGTTTTTTTGTACATCTTATCGTTAGCAATAGGTACTACAGGCAATGTTGAAGCATGCAATTTGCTGATGTTAGCATTCTCAGATGTTCACTTGCAGGCGTTCAAAGATCAGATTTATAAAGATACTGATAATAAAAGGCAGTAATAATGAAAACTAAAAAAAAAAAAAGGTATTCAATTTACATCAGAACTGACTTACAATGGAGTCATCAGAACGGAACTCCGTCGTAAGTTGGAGACTACCTGTACTATTAATAATTTCTGTACAAAAATATCACACACAACCCAAGATTTCCAACAGCATTTTTGACAGATGGAAAAGTATAAATCAATTAGTATGCATTATGAGACGTTATTACTTGTTTCGTTGCATTTTAAATTAGACCATACCTTTCCCGCCACTTCCACTGTAAAAATCGAGAAAAATATGAGCTTTCCTGGTATTCTTCAAATGGTTTTCCACTTAAATAGTTATGGACAATCCTAGAAAAGAGATTTTATGCAATTATACAAGTATTGCATTACAATATGAAAACTGTGTTTGAGTGCATTAATTACCACTGGATATGGGAGACTGAATCATTACACAGCAATCTGATATATAAAGAGAATTCCACACTAGTTTTCTAATGGTATCAGTGAAAACAGGAGGCAAAATTCCAAAGAAATCACTCACCCTCCCAAAGTCAGAGGGTTCTATTTGACGTATGTGGACGTCAGCGAAATACCTACTTGATTAAAATAACCTATCAGTAGAAAGACCACAGTTTAAAATGCATCCAAGGGGTGTGTGTGTGTGTGTGTGTGTGTGTGTGTGTGTGTCTGTGTGTCTGTGTGTGTGTGTGTGTGTGTGTGTATGCAGAAGAAAGACGTGGTGATCTGCTTCTGTCAAGATTACAACCAAGAAAACCTTATGGAGCAGATCTACTCTGTAACACAGAGGGTCACCATGAGTCAGAGTTGACTCCACGGCAACAGGTTTATTTTTGTTTGAGGTGTGTAAGAATGTAAACTCAAGTCAGCAGGATTTATTGTTTTGCTCTGTGCTGTCAGAAGCGTGCCTGACATAGAAGGGGCCCACAACAAATACGTGCAGAGTGAGGAATGAGTGACCCCTGACTGTTGGCATACATGTACATGGCCTAGGGCACCTCAGAAACCAGTTTTTCTTCCTGTGTCCATAAGAAGCTAACTTTAGTTAAAGTGCTCTGGCTTAGAATTTTCCTGTCCATGTTGCAAAGATCCAGAGAAAGATATTTTCAGTGAGTGCCTAGGTCTAAAAAATCATCTTACGGGAATCTTTTCATCCTAGACACGAGCATTCTGGAAGGCTGAGCAGAGAGGGCCTGGAGCCAGCAAAGGGATTTTAGGGACAGCGTGTGAGGACTACACTTCACTTACCTTTTCTAGTGAAGGGGACGCTCCTAATTTGGAAAGCTCTCTGATAAGCTTGTCTACTGGAGACAACCTCCTGCGAGCCCTCCGTCTTGAGTTCAGCCGCAGACACCAGGTGCAGGGCTGGGCACAAACCACTCACCTAGTGCATTCCTCGAAGAGTTCTTTGGAAGGATCTTCTTCTAGTCTCTCTTTACATTTTATCATAACATCCTGAGGTATTTCTGGTAAATGGGCTTCAGGCGTCTTAATCCAGCACAAACCAAATAAAATAACAATTAGTGATTGTATAATTTGGCAGTCACTTACAGCACCTAATGCTTACTGTGAAAAAACCAAAACACAGTGCATGAAGTAACGAGTCAAAGCGCCACCTTCACCCTCCCCCAGCCCACTCTCCAGGAGTCACGGCCTGCTGTCTGTCTTTGTAAACCTCGTTCTACACATGTAAAAATACAAACAAACCCTTAGAAATACAGTTTCTTTTCCTCATACCAACCAAAACACCAAACCCGTTGACACTGAGTCGATTCTAACTCATAGTGAAAACATACATATAGCTTTATACGTGTGTCTGGATGCCTTAGAGCTACTGCATCTTCTTTAATGACTACATGAGTTTCCAGAGGATGGGTTTATCTGCCCCTACTCAATATTCTGGAGCCCTGGTGGCACAGTGGTGGTGCTGACCAAACGGTCGGGAGTTCAAATCCACCAGCCACTCTTTGGAAACCCCATGGGGCAGTTCTACTTGGTCCAATAGGGTCGCTATGAGTCGGAATCAACTTGATGGCAACAGGTTTGGTTTCGGGTATTCAGCATTCTAGTTGCCAGTTTTCCTCACTGCAAACACTACTGCCATGAACATCTACGTACATTTGTGTTTCTACAGGACAGATTCCTACAATGAGAATTGCTAGCTCAAAGGACACATGGTTATAAACACCGACATGTACTGTGAAACCGCCCTCCAAAGAGGCTCTACACCTGACACTCCAGGTACCAGTTCCCATTCTCTCTAACCCTCATCCAGAGGATTCGGGAAAAAGAAAACACGTGGCAGACTGTTACCCAGATTCACTGAAAAAGCACCCAGATCGTGTTCAATGTGACACATCATTTGTCACCAGAAATCAGGGATGCACTCCAGACTGACTTCTGAATGTGGTAGAGCCACCCGCACAGCAAGACTGTGTGTTTTCTAAAAATCAAAGCAGGTATTTCACCAAGGAAGTAAAACTATGGGAAAAAAAAATACAACAATGAGACGACACACCACTAATCTACTGTCTGTCTCTATGGATTTCCCTACACTGGACATTTCATATGAACGGAATCATAACATGTCGCCTTTTTGACTGGCTTCTTTCACTTAGTGTAATGCTTTCAAGGTTCATCTACGTTTTTCTATCAGTACTTCATTCCTTTTTAGGGCCGAATAATACTCCACTGCACATTTTGCTTAACCATTCATCAGCTGATGGGCATTTGGGTTGGTTCCCCCTTTTGGCTATTACATATTTTCCTATCTCTTGGGTACACACTTTAGGAGTGCAATTGCTGGATCATACGGTAACTCTGTTTAATCATTTGAGGAGCTGTCAGACTGTTTTCCAAAGTGGCTGCACCATTTTACATCTTCACTAGCAGTGTGTGAAGGTTCCGATTTCTCTACGTCCTCATCAACACTTGGTATTACCGGACTTTTTTATTCTCACCACCCTAGTGGGTATGAGATGTTACTTCATTGTGGTTTGATTTGCACTTCCCTGATGACTAATGATGTCGAGCATCTTTTCAGGTATTTATTAGCCATTTATCTTCATTGGGGAAATGGCTATTCGAGTCCTTTGTCCATTAATCTTTTCATGGTTGAGTTGTGATAGTTCTTTATACACCGTAGATACTATACCGTTATCAGATATTTGATTTGCAAATATTTTCTCCCATTCTGTGAGTTGCCTTTTAATTTTGATAGTGTTCTTTAAAGCACAAAATTTTTAATTTCAAAGAAGTCCAATTTATCTATTTTGCCTTTTGTTGCTTGTGCTTTTTGTGTCATATCTAAAAAACCATTGCCTAATCTAAGGTCACAAGATTTACACTAATGTTTTCTTCTAAGTTTTAGCTCTTACATTTAGGTCTTTGATCCATTTTAAGCAGGGGTCCAGCTTCGTTCATTCTTTCATGGATATCCAGTTGTCCCGGCACCATCTGTTGAAAAGACTATTCTTTCCCCATTGAATTGTCCTGGCACTGTTGTCAAAAATCAATTGACCATAAATGTATGGGTTTATTTCTGGACTCTCAATTCTATTCCAGTGATCTATATATCTACCCTTATTGTTGCTGATCCACTGATCTATACTGATCAATGCACAGCTCCAACTCATGGCAACTCCATGTACAACAGAATGAAACACTGCCTGGTCCTGTGCCATTTTTACAATTGTTGGTACGCTTGATTTCATTGTTGCGGCCACTGTGTATTCTGAATGCCTTCCAACCTAGGGGGCTGTGGTGTGATGGATCGCTTTTGTATGGTCTTTCTCGCCATGCTCTTGTAACTCCCACCCAAGTGACTGGGCAGGATGTAACAAATGAATTAACTGTGGCCCACCAAAGGGATTGATCAGTTTTGACATTCTGCTGGGCTTAAAATGAGCCATCCTAGAGACAGGAAAGAGAGAATCTCACCACCACCAAGAAAGAAGAGCCTAGAGCGGAGCGCGACCCTGTGTACAACAGAATGAAACCCTGCCTGGTCCTGCGCCATCCTCTCAATCGTTGCTATGCTTGAGACCATCGTTGAGGGTCTTCCTCTCCTTTGCTGACCCTCTACATTACCAAGCATGATGTCCTTCTCCAGAGATTGGTCCCTCTTGATAACATGTCCAAAGTATGTGAGACGACGTCTTGTCATCCTTGCTTCTAATGAGCATTCTGGCTGTACTTCTTCCAAGACAGATTTGTTCATTCTTCTGGCAGTCCATGCTATATTCAATATTCTTCGCCAACACCATAATTCAAAGACATCACTTCTTCTTCCGTCTTCCTTACTCAATGTACAGCATTCGCATGAATTTGAGGTGACTGAAAATACCATGGCTTGGGTCAGGCGCACTGTAGTCCTCAAAGTGACATCTTTGCTTTTTACCGCTTTAAGGAGGTCTTTTGCAGCCGATTTGCCCAGTGCAATGCATCGTTTGATTTCTTGGCAGCTGCTTCCATGGGCATTGACTGTGGATCCAAGTAAAATGAAATCATTGACAACTTCAGTATTTTCTCCACTTCTCATGATATTGCTTATTGGTCCAGTTGTGGGGATTTTTGTTTCTTTATGTTGAGGTGTAATCCATACTGAAGGCTGCAGTCTTTGATCTTCATCAGTGAGTGCATCAAGTAAAAGAGTTCAGCTGCTAACCAAAAGGTTGGCAGTTCAAATCTACAAGCTGCTGCTTAGAAACCCTACGGGGCAGTTCTACTCTGTCCTATAGGGTTGCTATGAGTCAGAATCAATTTCATGGCAACAAGTTTGGTTTGGTTTTTTTAAGCGCTTTTAAGTTCTCTTTGCTTTCAGCAAGCAAGGTTGTATCATTTACATATCACAGGTTGTTAATGTGTCTTTCTCCAATCCTGATGCCCCATTCCATTCTTCTTCATATATTCTAGCTTCTCGGATTATTTGCTCAGCATACAGACTGAATAAGTATGGTGAAAGGATACAACCCTGCTGCACATCTTCCCTGATTTTAAACCACACAATATCCCCTTGTTCTGTTTGAACGACTGCCTCTTGGTCTATGTACAGGTTCCTCATGAGCACTATTAAGTGTTCTAGAATTTCCATTCTTTGCAATGTTATCCATAATTTGTTATGATCCACACAGCTGAATGCCTTTGCATAGTCAATAAAACACAGGTAAACATCTTTCTGGTATTCTCTGCTCTTAGCTTAGATCCATCTGACATCAGCAGTGATATTCCCTTGTTCCACGTCCTCTTCTGAATCTGGCTTGAACTTCTGGAAGTCCCTGTTAATGTATTGCTGCAACCGTTTCTGAATGATCTTTAGCAAAATTTTACTTGTGTGTGACATTAATGATACTGTTTAATAATTTCTGCATTTGGTTGGATCTCCTTTCTTTCGAATGGGCACATACATGGATCTGTTCCAGTCAGTGGGCCAGGTAGCTGTCTTCCACATTTTTTGGCATGGATGACTGAGCCCCTCCAGCTCTGCATCCATTTGTTGAAATATCTCAGTTGGTATTCCGTCAATTCCTAGAATCTTGTTTTCTGCCAGTGCCTTCAGTGCAGCTTGGACTTTTTCCTTCAATACCATTGGTTCTTGATCATATGCTACCTCCTGAAATGGCTGAATATCAACCAAATCTTTTTGGTACAGTGACTCTGCGTATTCCTTCCATCTTCTTTTGATGCTTCCTGTGTCATTCAATATTTTCCCTGTAGAATCCTTCAATAACGTAACTTGAGGCTTGAATTTTTTCTTCAGTTCTTTCAGCTTGAGAAATGCTGAGCATTTCCCTTTTGGTTTTCTAAGTCCGGGTCTTTGCACATTTCATTATAATACTTTAGTTTGTCTTCTCAAGCTGCCCTTTGAAATCTTCTGTTCAGCTCTTTTACTTCATCATTTCTTCCATTCGCTTTACCTGCTCTATGTTCAAGAGCAAGTTTCAGAGTCTTTTTTGACATCTATTTATGTCTTTTCTATATGTCCTGTCTTTTGATGACATTTTGCTTTCTTCATGTATGATGTCCTTGATGTCATCCCACAACTCATCTGGTCTTTGAACATTTGTGTTCAATGTGTCAAAAAACCTTAACTAGTTCTCCCTATTAATCTCTTAACAGTGTACCCTGTCCATTTTCTTCTTATTTGCATTCCCTACAGACTGAACGTTCCATGAGATCCAGGTCCATGTCTGTTTTGTAAGCCAGTCTATACCTAGCACCTAGCACTATGCCAGACACATAACAAATGCACAAAATATATGAACTGAATGAATGAATGGATAAATACATGCAAGGACGAGCACATACAATCTTGCCTTACTTTTAGTGTTTTAGGTATTCTGGATTGTTGAAGTTTGAGTAAGTGACCTCAAGGAGCTCCCTTTTTGGTATGCAAAAGAAAGAGTTTTTGCTATTGTTGTCGCTTTTAAAGAAAAGAAAAAAAAGAAGAAAGAAAAATTACAATGATGATGTGAATTATTTATTGGTTAGTTAGTTACTCCGTAGAACACAAGGGCAGGACAGTCATGTTGAGAAGCAGAAGAACGTGGTAGTTCCCAATTGATGGGGGAAAAAAAAAGGCTTTGAAGTCACACCATTTTCAGGCAGCCATAAACATATCTCACTATCACCAAGCCACAGACGTGTGAGTGCCCCGTCCTTCCTCCTCTACAGCTATGACGTCCCCCAAGACTACTTTTTAAATGTTTTCTTTCTTCTTGATGACCTCCCTTGCTGTGTGTTATTTCTCCAGGAGAGGTGAAGAAGAAAAAAAGAGGTAGAACAAGATAGATGAGACTTCTACTCCTCCCGACTGGAGTCCTCCCAATACATAGATCCTACAATCACTACTCGTGAAAAGAGCTGTCTCTGAGGCATGGTACTGAGGCTGGGGTCGGGGAGGGGTCACAGGCATCAGGGTGGAAACTGATTTGGGTCTGAATCACACCAGTGCCATCCGCTGGCTGGCCGTGTGTGTCTGTGCCTGCTGGGTGTCACCGCCGGCCTCTTCCTCCTGTCCCTACATGTTTGAATTCCAGCTCCACCACCAACTAGCTGTGTAACCTTGGGCACGTCGCTTAACCACTCTGTTTTACAGTCTGATAATAAAAATAGACATAACGATAGTATCTATCCCGTAGGTTTTTTTTAGAAGATTAAATAGTGTACTCGACGCACCAAGCTCAGAGCGGCATTCACAGCGTCAGCTTCGTTGCTGTTACCGTGCTTTCCAGCCCTACATTAGAGCGCCCAGCCACTCAAAACTTGCTCCAAAAGGAGGTCATGCAAAGGGGAGCCGGCTACAGCTCTCATCTCAGTTACAAACCAAGCTCCAGGAGCCTGGAGAATCAAAAAACATGAAAACTAAGACCAGTTTAAGATTTTAGGGAAAAAAAGGGCTAGTTTTAGTCTAAGAGAAGCAAATAAAATTCTCTAATTCTACATTCTGTTAAGAGGGAACACAGAAACTTTTAAATTCGCAGAATCAATTGTCTAAGAGATGTACTTGCTGATTTCCCCACTGAATCAAAGGAAAATGCAGAAGAGAAGCATTTATATGAAATTAAAGCTTTTAACATATTGGTTATGGCTTATCCAGTACATAAAAACAGCTCTGGTACCGGATTATAAGTAAGTTGTTTACAGATCTGTACATCCAAAGAAGAAAACACACCTCCTCATTGAAGAATGTATCTAAGACCTTGAGTCCACGATCTCTTTGGTCCTCATCAGCGGCCACTTCATATTCTGCCTGATTAGAGACGGGAGAAAAGAAAACTGTCAGTTAAGCTTCTTCGATGACTATGTGATGTTTTAAGTACTCTGCCTTGCTGAGTTGACCGGGTACCCTCAGGACCAGGGAGCATTTAACTATTTACTCAAGTATCTACAGCTCTTGAAGGTTAATACAGTAGTAGACAATGCTTTCCACAATCCTCTCTATGCCAGGTTATATTCTCAGCCAATAAACGTGGCTATAAAATGGAACAAAATAAACACACTGGGCTGTTCTTAGGCATTAACATTTCAGAGAGACACAGCTAAGAGTTCCGTTGTGCTTACTTTTACTTTTTAAGACTCATTTTATTAGTGGGAAATATCGTGAGAGCTTACAGGTGAGATTAGGCCAGTATTTTCCAATGAATACTTTGTGAACCAGCACTCGTCCTGAGAAGCCAAGTAAAAATAGAAAGAGGTCTTTTCTCCCCAACAACCCACTGAACCTGCTTTGTTATCTGCCTGTTCCTGCTGCACTGAGCGTTTTAGTCTGTTAACCCAAAAGTACATCTGGCACAGGAAACACCTCAAACAAGCGTGGCTTTTAATGCCTCAAGGAAAAGACGTCTCACCCATCCTAACTGCTCGGTTAACAAATGATTGACAGCTAACAGTGGAAGACCAAAACCCTATCAGAATGTTCCAGAAAAATGCAAAGCAATGAGACTTTGGGAACGCTACAAATCTCAAACCTGCTTGACCTGATATCAAAGGAGAAAAAAAAAATTACACACACACACACACATATTAGCTAGTGACAGTGTAAGACATGGCACAGTTACCTATTTAATAATTCTTGTATCTTAATCTGGAGTCCCTGGGTGGTGGTTGGTTAAGCGCTTGGCTACTAACCAAAAGGTTGGTGGTTCATACCCACCCAGAGGCACCTCGAAGGAAAGGTCTGGCGATCTACTACTGAATAGTCAGCCACCGGAAACCCTGTGCAGTGCAGTTCTGCTGTGGATCCCATGGGGTCGCCAGGAGTCGGAATCAACAACAACTGGTTTGGCTTTTTTGGTATCTTAATCTAGTCCACTGTATTTGTCAAATAAACCAAAACTTGATCTAATAATGATGACAATTCTCAGTGTACCGGATGGGAAGATACCAAACCAGGGCTACTCCACTCCACAGGTTGGGCACGCTTAGAAAATGGACCTTAGGACAGAATCAAGGGAATACCCGCACACCGATCATTAGGTGGCTGTTTAATTTAATCTACCGTACTCTAACCTTTATGTCACTTATCCTTGGAGCTTAAATGATCACCAACATACCTTTCATGTTTCTTACTTCACACTTGATTTCATTTAAAATGAGCCACTCCTAGTTTGGAAAAAAACAAAGCCTACCTTGACCCTACATTCTATTCTAGCCACCGCACTATTTCCCGGAAGCCCGATGGATGCACAGTTCTCAGAGGAGTTGTCTATAGTCGCTGTCTACACTTCCTCTCCTCCTACTTATTCACCTCGCCCCATCATGGTATTCAGTTCCATCGCTTCCACCTGCTTGTGAAAGGTGAAAATCTCCGTCAAGCTAACGGTGGCAGATCCCACCTACATTTCACTGAGGTTTTAGGTGAGAAAAACAAATGATGCTACAGACCTTTAGTCTGGGTGGAGACTTGATCAAATCCCCTACTGCCACTACTTTCAAAATGCAGAAGTCCGCATGAGGCAGCAGGGGACGTATTCTTAGGGAGACTACACAACAGTCCTTGGCCACTGAAGTTACAGACTCAGCCTCTTAGACAGAAGCCCCCCAGGGCTCTCTCTACTACAGGCTTCCTGCTGAGTACAATGAACCTCAATGAACAAGATCGTACCCAGCGGCCGGCATGACAATTTAGAGGTACACTCCCTGCAGTAAGACGTAAGAAAAGAGAAATCTTTCTTAACAACTGTAAAAAAAACCCTCTTTGCGAGTATTTTTACAGGAAAATAATCCCACTAAAAACTAACTGTAGTATTGACTAATCATCTCAAGCCTTCCAACCCGCGAACCTGGAGTGGCCTTCCCTTTGTTCAGGTCTCCTCTGACTTCTTTTAATAATGTTTTGTAGTTTACTGTGGACAAGTCTGTTGCCTTCCTGGTTAAACTCATTCTTAGATACTTTATTCTTTTAGATGCTTTTGTAAATCGTAATGTTTCCTTAATTTCCTTTTCTGCTCACTCGTTGCTGATATATAGAAACCTGACTGATGTTTGTGTGTTGTCTTTGTACCCTGCCACTTTGTTGAACTCTTTATGAGTCCTAACAGCGTGAATGCATACCTGTTATGAGGCTTTGGCTATTCTCAGGTAAAGCTCTTACGGTCACTGCTATGCCACAGCCCTCCATAAGGAAACCCTGCTCAGCCCACGAGTCCTAGCCTCCATCACTCTTTACAGCCATACCACTACCAGATGCTGCCTGAATCTGGCCAGTAGAACCATCCGTTCTTGCACTTCCACCTGAGGATGGACGTGTGCTCAGTCTCCCCATATCCAGGGTGTTATCTGGTGCACTGTATGAGGTGGCACGGTGATGAAAAGAAGACTAGGTGATGGCTGAGCCTTGAAGAGTTTGTAAAATCAACACGTACTGCGGGCCAACTACGTACCAGGCACAGTGATTGGTGCTGGGCATACGGTCATACATAGGGCTAAAAGAGAAATGCCACAGTAGCGGTCTACAGCCTGTTACGAGAAACCACAGGGAGGTGCCTGGGATCATCCTTGGGGTGATGGTGGGAAGCAGGGGCAGAGAGGGCTGCACAGAAGTCAAGATGCTCATGCCAACACTTCTTTGAAAGCTAAGCCCTGCAGGATCGGCATGAATCGGCCAGGCAAACAGAAAGTGCCAGGTGAGGGGTGGGTGGCAGTCAACCTCCAGGTTCTTAGCTTAGGTGTCCAGGCAGAATATGACCTACTAAGTGAGATGGGAAACACTACGGTTAGGACTGCTTTGGAAAGAGAGACTTGGCCATACTGAGAAAGAGCTGCTATGAAACATCTACGTGGAAATGGACAAGAGGCACATGGAACTGGACAGCAGAGCTTACAAGGAAACTCACGTTGAGATACCAGATTAGCAGCCATCCACACACGTGTCTGGTGAGAGATCGAAGAGGGGATGATGATACACAGCTGAAAGGAGGGAGGCGTCAAGAGCAAACCTGATCAATATCCAAACAGAGAGGGTAGGCAAGGAAGAACTGGAAAAGAACTGGTAAGAGAAAAAGACAACCAGAGGGGTGATCACAAAAGTCTGGACAAGAGAATTTCAAGAAGGGGCGAGTCAACAGACAAGGAGATTCAAGCATGATGCCTCAACTGAAGCCACTGGATTCTGCAATTAGAGGGCATTGGAAGAGCAGTGAAGCCACAGGCCGGAGGCTGAAGGAGGCTGATATACTGACCACATGAAAAGGGCTCAGAGATAAAGTCCAGCCTCACATTTCACTCCAGGTCCTTCACACGCCCAACACAGGCTGACAACCACCAGGCTGACGAGCTGGTCAGAACAATTTCCCATGCTACGTTCAAAGGCATTGTGCTTACAATGACTAGTAGCTAAAAGAACCTTCAAACTGAGGTTCTGGGATTTCTGGATACAGCATAGCATACAACTGATGGGAATGAAGGCAGTCTGATGTTGTTATGGTCTTTTCTTTAATTGTTGCAAAGTATATATGTACAAAAAACAACACTTGTCAACTCAACGTTTTGTACACGTACAGCTCTGTAACCAATCACATTAATCACGTTGTGCAACCATCACCAGTTTCTGCCTGCCTGTTGCCAAGTTTTCCAGCATGTTATGGTTTTCTGACGTGTCAACTTGGCAGGCTATACTTCCCAGATGCTCAGTCAAACACTCTTCTAGGTGTTGCTGTGAAGGTACTTGGTAGATGTGATCAGAGTCCATAATCAGCTATTTTTAAGAGGGAGATTATCCTAGATGATCTAGGTGGGCCTGATTCAATGAGTTGAAAGGCCTTAAAAGTAGAGCTGAGGCTTCCCTGAAGAAGAAGAAATTCCACCTGTGGAGCAGCTTCAGCCCATGCCCGCGAGTTCCAACCTGACCTTCCTGACGGCCTACCCTGTGGATTCCGAACTTGCCCAGCCAGCCCCCACAATCACGTAAGCCAATGCCTTATCATATATATAATAAGGATATATATATATACACACACACACACACATAAAACCAAACCCTTTGCTGTCGAGTCGATTCTAACTACAGGACAGAGGAGAACTGCCCCATAGGGTTTCCAAGGAGTGGCTGGTGGATTCGAACTGCCAACCTTTTGGTTAGCAGCCGAGCTCTTAATCACTATGCCACCAGGGCCCCATATATATATACACATATATATACACCATATATACCTCCTACTGGTTCTGCTTCTCTAGTTGAACCCTGACTGACATAGACGCCATTAATTTAGTCAAGAAACACTGAGCAGGAAACAGAACAAATAACCACGCCAGCTGCCACGAAGGGGAAACGGATTAGATGCAGGCTCTCCACTCAAGAAGCTCAAAGAACTTGTAATAACTTATCAAAGTACAATCAGAGGGGTAATGATCAGGTATTATTTATGAACGCATATAACTACTGTCAAAAAAAACCCCAAAAACCAAAATTGCCACCTCAATAAACGTGACTGTCACTAATAACTAGTGAGTATCATGATTATATCAGAAGTTCTAAACCCAAAACAGACTTTCAACAATGCAGTTAAGTCATTTTTAAAATAAAGAAGAATTGTAGGGCCCTAAATTCTTAAAATACAGCAGCTTAGCAAATATAACTCACTAAATTAAAATTTGTATCTATATTCTACCCCCTGGAACTCTGAGGCATGCCCCACTCGGCCAGAAATCTACCTTTAAGAGGAATACTTGCCCCTTTCTAAGCCTTGCTCAGGAGCCCTGACAGCGCAGTGTTAGGTGCCCAGCTGCTAACCGAAAGGTCTATCGTTCACA